CACCGCAGAAAAGAAAAAAAAAAGACAAGAAACAAAGCTTGATAATGACATGCTTACAAACCGCATTCTAAAAATGCACGTTAATTGAGGATGGGTGTGTGTGGAGAGAGGGAAAAAATAAAAGTCCACATGACTGGCTGCATATTACATAGCATAGCCATGAGAGGAGAAAATACAAGCAAACCTTTTTTTACAGTGTTACATTCCTCCGGCGGTAGAATTGATAATTGGGATCAAATCAACCGAAACTCCTCTCCGCTTGTTAAAATAAATAAAAACCCCAAACCACGGAAACACGGATCATCATACGTCGATAAATTGAGTCATTACCATCATCGCACATGAGCGAAGAGGCGTTAAAAGGAAACAGACGGGCTGCGGGAGTGATTCCGGGTAGTTGGTTTTGTGTAGGGCGTCGATAAAGTAGTTACCTCGTCCCGTCGTTTCAAGAATCAAGACGCCCCCAAAAAGAATTAAACCCTGTCATCCCATCAACTTCTGGAAGCTGTGGAGTTGCGGAGTGCGGATATTCTTCCAACCGTAAAAAATCTCTTTTTTGCCTTTTTTGTGTGGAGCTTGGGGACGCGGCAAGCCGAACCAGACAGAGCCAACCAACCATTGACAACCAACCAGCCTGCCGCTGATGTAAGCGTGCATGCATGTACCACATCTTACCTAGGCTCGTTCCACAATCTACATGACATCGCGATTGCAACTAATTTACGCGTCGACCCCACCATTCGTTCAGGCCAGCATCACCCAGAAAAGCGAATACCAAGCCCGACCCTGATCAACACCAGGCCCTTTCGAAATGTCGGGGAAAGACCGTAGGTCAGGAAACAGCGCTGCAGGCAGGAACGGCTCAATCAGAAGCTTCTTCAAGCCCGCACCGCCGCAGCGGCTTGACACGAACCACAAAGCTACCAGCAGCACCATCGTCCCCCTACAAACATCACCAGCAGCTGCACAGCTACACGCCGAAGCTGGGATCCAAGATACAATCACTGTCCAATCCACCCCATTATCCACAGACAGCTCGTTCACAGAGCCGTCAATACCATCCTCGTCACTCCCAGGCTCGCAGGCCACCGCGCAATCAAGAGTAGTGCCTAGTTCCGATGGCGAGGAATCAGACGACTCCCTCGAAGACCCATTCGAGACTCTCCGCCGGCAGCGGCGAAAGATTGAGCCCGCCTCGGGGGTCAAGAAGACGCCCAGTATAGCCACCACTCCGCCGTCACTACGAACCCCCAGCGCGGCCGCCGAAGATCCACCGGTGCGCAACTACAAGTTCTCTCTCGGAAACCTCGTCGCGCAGAAGGAGCGGGAGACCGCGCTTGAGAAAGAGAAGTTAGCCTCCAAGGCTCTACACGAAGAGGCCAACCGCGAGATCACGACGGACTTTAGGAACGGGGAGCAGGAGATTGATGAGGCGATGATGATCGAGGCTTTTGGCGAGGTTGAGGCGCGCAAGTTGATGGCCGCCTTGAAGAGGAAGGACGCCTGGAGGGTTGACAAGTCGTGGCACTTTTTCGATCTCGAGAGGGGCAAGCGGAGGAACCAGTTTCCTCGACATGCTGTGGAAGGTGGGGGCTGGGAGGCTGGGCTTGTGAGTGCGTGCGGACAATCTTGCTTGGGGTGGGGGCGGGCAGGAGGTGTGCTAATGATGCGTGTGGTGTAGCTGCTAGGGGCCGGAGACAGATGTTCCTGTCTGGCTTTGTGATGGATATGGCGAAAATCGATGCTGTGCTGCCCGACGAGGTCTTGAGCTGGATGTTTGACGAAGGTGCAGATCCGGTGTCTTTCGCTGTCTGTGAGCGGTAACTTACGTGATTTACAGTGTGCCTGGAAACTAAGGACGAGCTTGCATTTGCATACTTTAGGGTTCTCGGGGCCCTGCCCATCCCGGTAGTAGAGCAGCAATTCACGGAAGATAGGGTATCTCGCCTCTTTCATTTGCTCGGGGGTAAAAGTGATGCCCTTGACACGGAAAAACAAGTAGCCTTGGCAGATTCGGGGAGAATAGGTATGGCCGGATTCCGTGCATATATATATAATTATAATCATAGTCCTTGGGCAGTTCATAAAGTTGACTGTTTGAAGACGACCAGGATGGTAATTTCTACAACGCTACACTCGTCACCACACTCTTTGGGAGAATAGGCCCGTAGTACGGAAACCCAATCGCCCTTTTTTTTAAAGTACATGTCAGACATAGAAGTACTAACTATTATAATTAGCATTTGCTCTAATACTGCGGTTATTAAAAAGACTTGCGTACTCTTAGTACGGCTCGCATTGGACGTGCGTGTAGCAAGGCAGGCTCAATTACGGGCTTCGATAGAGGATGCTCTAGCTGAGATATTCGAGTCAATACCGGACGATGACTGGGCAGAAGTATCTAAGGAAATTGCCCTTAATCTTATCACGACAATAGTTGATACGCCATACCGCCTACGTGCTATCAACGCCCTCCCAGTGCATACACCCCGCACGCATCTCTTCCGCCGCCGCCTTGCGCTCTCGTATCTCTGGGATGACCCTTCATACCTCACCAAACCCTATGCTGACCTAGTCCGCATCTCCGACCTTGACAAGCTGCTAGTCAAGCCGCAGTACAAGATCACCAAAGAGACCGACTACCATGACCTCAAAGCGCACGTCTCCATGCTCGACATTGCAATTGACGACGGCCCCACCGCGCGCGAGGACCACGGGGACAGCGACGCGGAAATAGACATACTTGTGGAGCGCCTTCGAAACCTGTTTGGCCGCATAAATGACACGAATGCCCAGAACCTGACTAGGACTGAGGCAAAGGACACGATCGAGAGACTCAACTTTAGGCTACGCTTTGCTGTCAGGACGAAGGTCAAGACGCAGCTGGTGGTGGACACAGATACGGGCCCTGAGTGGGTGGGCAGAGATGGAAAGGTGCAGACGAGGCTGCCATGGGCAGGAGGAGAGGAAGGAGGGGAAGGAGGAGGCAGTGCTGGTGGTAGATAGTGGCAGATAGACAGGACCTGGTTAGCCTAGCCGGGGGGGTGGTGGGGGGTGGTGGGGGGTGTGAGACGAAAAGCTCTCTTTCTTTCTTTCTCTCTCTCTCATTCCTAGCCAGCCAGATAGTATCACGAGTGAAGAAGTCATGTATGGTTAAACTAATGTACTTATTTGGACATGCAATATTTCTCTTGGTCCGGGTTAATTCACAGACGGATTGGTCATGCTGAGGGTAAATGTATTTTTGTCCAGAGAGAGAGTGAGAGAGTTAGAGCGAAAGAAAGAAAGAAGTAAGAGAATTTAGCTCTTCACCACATGTCGCGATGTCGTTCGGCTTACCGGTCAGCAGCCCTCTCGACTACATCCACAAGTTACCGGCACCACCAGACGCACGGTAAGTCTCCCACTGCAAATAGAACCCACACAGAGATCCCGATATATATAGACAGCTACAGCACACATTCTACTCTAGACTCTCTACTCTAGTCTCTCTTTCTGTATGTCATCCACACCCCGCATGTCTGTCCATCCCAGTCGAACGGAAACTCTGCACGCACGTGTAGAAATATGCGAACTCGCCCGGTCGCGCACGTTGAAATAGACTCGAGTAAACATGCGGCTGAGATGCCACAAGTGCAAAAAAGAAAAAAGAAAAAAAGGCAAAATATTTAGTTAGCCACACCATCACTTCTGCCCTGCTTTAGCCAACTCTTCTGGAATCCGCGCGCGGCGGCACAACCGGAGAAGAAAGGTGGTGGGTTGGTGGCAGCGGGCGGCTCAGCTGGGATCCGGTCGGGTCGGCCACTAAACTTAGGCGGATGGATAGACGGGGACAGGGGAGCATTAGGGAGAGAGGGGGAGGAGCAAAGGGCAGGGAGCTTCCGGCTTCCGGTGACCGGATTCCGGTGCTAGACTAGTGTGCTTGGCTAGCGTGAGCACGGGTTTCGGGGAATTTTGGGTCATGGGGGGTCACTCGGTTTTTTGTGGTATTTGTGGTTTTGGCTTCTGGATGGTGTGCAGTTGGTGTTGGGTTTGTTATTATGTAGGCGCTAGAGTAGTTAGTTACTCTAGACGGACGGGATGGACGGATTGCTCTGGAACGGGAGTTTTCAAGCTTAACTAAGGGGGATCTACACTCCTCATCTCATGCAGGCAGCCCACAAACTACCAGATGTCCGATCTAAGACATGGCTACCATCGCCAACTGCCCGGATTTTGCTTTTTGGTTTTTTTGGCGAGAAGGGAAAAAACAAAAAAAACAATTTTAGCTACGATAAGTTATTCCCCACATCTCAGGGGAATGAGGGGTCTAGATGGTGAGCTTGCGGAGATTACGATTGCGATGACGATGGTTGGGATAGGGCGAGTGATGGGCTGTGAAGTGTTTTTGTTTCTATATATACCAACTAGCATTTTCCCTCCCCCGATCTGACATACAGTCCTTCTTTTTCTATACTCCCGCCTCCACTCCTTGCTAACAAAGTCCCTTCCGAAGACGCCGATAGTGTACAGTACAAACATTTGATATAAAAGAAGAAAATAGGAGATGATGAGGGGAGTTCTCAGATTGTGATTGTTTTTAGTGGAGAAACGGTGGGGAATAAAGAGATATAAACAGTATATAAAAATAAGAAAGGAAGAACGCCAGAGACCATCGATCGATATAAACATATATAAGCTGGAAAAGTTTGATAAAGATAACAAAAAACCGAGGCCTTCGGTTGGAAAGGCTAGAGATAAGTAGTTATGGGGTAGATAGAGGTAGAGTGGTAGGGAGAGAGAGAGAGTAAGAGAGGAAGAAGAGGAGAGTATGGTATGCAATAGCCAGCATATATAAAAAAACAAGAATCAAGAAACATGTCAAAACGGAATGGGGGATCAAAAGCCAATCTATACACCCGACCACCCAAAAACAAGAATCCTCACCGCTGAGAAAAACACAGAAGAGAAGAGAAATGGAAACCCATCAATCATCATATCGCATCATACACTCACGCACTTTATTTCTTCGCCTTCTTCACTGGCATCAAATCCAGCTGATAGTCCAAATACACCTCCCGCTCCTTCGCGCCCACCTCCTGCTGGTGCTGCACGCTCTGGTTGAACCTCTGATCCATCAACTTTGAGGCTGCCTTTTTTGCGCCCGCTTGCTGCTGCTTACCGACAGACATCCAGCCGCGCTTGCCCTCCTTTGCGCCGCTCTCGCCCCACATTGTTAGGCGTTGCGTGCGGCGGAGCTTATGTAGGCCGTAGGCGCAGATGATGGCGGAAAAGACGAACGCCCATCCGGAGACGCCCCAGAAGGCAAAGTCGGACTCTTCCATGAAGTTTTTAAGATTCATGCCGTAGAGACCGGCGATGAAGGTTCCGGAACCGATACCGAGCGTGCCGATAGAGAACTTGAGGTCGAGGAGCATGAGAGAGTTGCGGTTGGCGTCGAGAATGATATTGACACTGGAGCAATGGTATTAGCTCGGTTCTTGTGGTAGATTTGAGGGAAGGGTGCCTTTACATTTCCTCGGTATTCCGGATGCTAGAGACCAAATTGCTGGAGATCTGGACAATCTCGTCACATATCTTATGATATGACTCCAGCAGCATCTCTACTTCAGTGTGCTCCTCCATCGGCCTAACCTTCCCGTGCAGCTTCTCCGACAGATACATGTCCGCCAAATCATCATCAGCCTCCAGGATCTCCTCAATGGCGTCCCTAATCAGCTTCGCCTTCTGCTCAAACGTCGACAGCTTCTTTGAGTAAATCAAGAGCTGTCTCAGCTTATCCCTATCGATATCCTCCTCCAAGTCTCCCAGTAGCGTAATCACCAGCTCCTGCAGCACCTTCATTTCTGCTTCCAGCGCCGCAGTAACGGAAATGAGGATTGCTTCGAGGGCGCGCATCTCATATGGAAGACCACCCATAGCCTTTGAGCCCTGTCTCAGCTTTCCGCCGAGATCGTACATGAAGATGGATTGTGTGTAGGAGTCGGTGGACCCGTAGACGTCGAAGAGGAGGACCATGTCGGCTTTAATGAGTGCGCGGATGTGCAGAAGGTTTACGAGGATGGAGTTTTTGCGGACGAGGATGTGGGGGACGATGATGCTGGGAACCCAGAGTTTACGGAGATCGCGGGGCATGAGGCCGTGCTGTGATCATTGACCTTTTAGTAACCAATTCTCAAATTGAAAGATATGGCAAGTATATACAAACCTTTGTACACAGCTCCGTCTTCTTGAACTCTCCAAACACAACAGTAACGTTTCCTACAACCAGTCAGAAAACCTGCAGGTACCAATGACAAACAATGCATGAAAACCAAAAACCGGAAACAAGAAAAAACGAACCTTCCCGATCAAACTCCGTACACCTCAAAAACTCATCCCCGTTATTCTTGTGCAACAGACTCCTCCCCAGAATCGCATCCTCCGGTCCCGAGTCCAGGTACCTCGAACTCCCCTTCTCTGGCCGCTGCGCATACTTCTTTGACCGCCGCCTAAATAGCGTTTCTAGGAACCCACTCGACTTGCGCCTCCCCGCGACTATCGAGCCCGCCTCAGGCCCACCATATTGCTGCAGGAAACCTGGGTTTGCATCTGCATACCGCGACAGTGGCGTCAACCGGGATTGCATTTTCGATGTTGTGAATGCCCGGCGCTGATGCTGCTGTGCTGGGTTCATTGTCGCACTGGCTTCTCTCCCGCCGAAGCCGGGACGGGTGGGCGCAGTAATGGGCAGGGCGCAGCAGTGGTGGGGGGTACGGGTTAGGCGCAGTGCCAGCGTTCGGGGACAGGTGGAGGGCGCAAGGTGAGCGCGCATGTGGGCCGTGAAGAGGTTGTTTGTACTGTGAGTATGGGTTACGGGTATCAAGGCTTTCTAGTGGCGAGGTGGGGGGAATTGTTCTCCCTCTGTGGATGTAGTGGTGGTGGGAATTGAGCTGGAGTATTGGGTGGAAGGTTGAGGAAGGAGCAATCAATGGACGAGCGGAATGTCTTGGGTGAATTGGATCTTTTCCTTTCCAAAACGTATGATATCGGAAGAGGCTCTGCGGCAAGTAGCTTTTGGTCTACGGAAAACTTTTGAGGTTGTGGCTGGTGGGGGTGGCTTGAGTGGGCAAGCTAGCTGCAGAGCCTCTTCTTGACGAGCTTGGCTAGCAGCGCCCTGGACAGTGGGTTTATACGGTGTCGTCTGCGCTCTTGGGTACGAGGTACCTGCAGGCAAATTACAGTACTCTAGATTGATCAATCTGTTTTACGATTCATTTCCTCGAGCATCAGGATGCACAACGGCGAAAACCGGGAATAAATGTTGCGGCTGAATGGGGTTTGACGTCATGCATGACCAACCAGAAGTGTGCAGTTGCAAAAAGCAGTGTTCGGGAGTGTGGCTGGAGACAGTCTTTCATGGTTTATCACTCGGTTGTTGGGCCCTGTTTATCATATATAGGATTTATTACTGCTAAACAGCTAGCTAGGTATCTTACTCAATACTCGGGCCCACTAATAAACCACATAAGTCTCGTTGTGTCTTCGTCCCTCTAAACGGCTATCGGTCTCATCCCTTCCGGCGGTGTCGAACTATCGATTTTGGTACCCCATGTGAGTTGGCTGTTGGCAACAGGCGTTTCTCGCTACAATGCTGATGGGGGATGTGATCAGGAGCACAAGAATATGCTGTCCTTTGGGGGTATTATTACTAATATGTGTTCTTCCATTTATTAAAGACTCTAATACAGACACAATCTCGCGTGAGCTATTTCTTTTTTTTTATGGTTGCTGAATCATGGCGGATCACGTAGTGGCCCGAGTCATGAGGAATGAAGGATTGACTGAGGAATGAAGGATCCCGGTTTTGGCGGCTAGTTACAAATCAAACTAGGCTTAATAGCCGACAGCTGGTTGTTTTGTTATCCAGGGTTAGGGATCAGGGCGGGTATCTTGATGCGCACGTAAAGTACGACTAGCTGGACTGGCATAGGCATGTTTACTACTAGGCTACAGTGCAATTGTTGCTATGGAGGAATTATTCACCGCTCTTTGCCATAATATAAGCTTCATGCGCAGCTTTTCTTGCTGCGATTGGTGCACCCCCAGTACACATATGTACTGTGCATGTGGGACTCTTTGTGCTCGTGGTGTCGTTTGGCCGGGGTGGTTTTCGGTATTCTAGCTGGTGGGTACTGGATCACTCACTATGGCCTGACATAACACCGAAATTGCCTCGGCCAGTCAAATAAAAGTTTAGCTAGCTGGATAGTATACTGGCCGATGGATCACTTATGAAAATACCTCTCAGAAACATTTGCTCTCGGAGCTACAAAGAAGCATCGTGGGGTCCCGGCATGGATATCCACTTTTCAAGAATGCCAAACAAGGGTTAAATAGGCGCATGTTGCATGTGGCAGAGAACGCCCAACTACGACTGATTAGGGAGGACCGCAACGTACAGCCTAACGGCGGCCGGATCAATTTAGATTGATCGACGGCTTTTGGGAAAAGGAGATAATAGGTCGGCCGAGGGTTTTTTTTCTGGCCAAGTATATAATGTTTCTATGAGTGCTCTGCTCTACGGAGATTATTGAATTCTTCGCTTTGACAGCTTGTGCATATAGCGCTATACGGCGGATCATTGATCGTCCCTTACTTGAAATACTTACCAACTACGCACTAAACTACTTATACCCTAATCCAACGATGTGTTTTTCGGACGAGAGTCAAGCTTTACTCCCAGGGAATTGCCAGTATTGTCAGATCTGGTGATCCTCGTCACAGGTGGAAATAATGGTCTTGGGAAAGAGAATATCCTGGCCTTCTGTGATAAGGGCGCAAAGGTCTACATGGCTGCCAGGTCAGAGCCAAAAGCAGTATGTTACTTCTATTTCCCAAGTTGGTGACAACAGCACTGACAAAAAATAGCTTGCCGCAATTCAAGATATCAAATCCAAAGTCCCCAACGCAAAAGTCGAGTTCATTGAGATGGACCTCAGCTCTTTCTCTTCTGTCAAGAAGGGCGTCGACGACTTCCTTTGGGTACACATATATCCCATGTTTACACTAGTAAAATAGCTACGCAGATCTAGACCTAACATCACAATAGCAAGGAAACAAAACTCCACGTCCTGCTCAACAACGCTGGCGTCTTTTGTCTCCCCTACTCCAAGACCGCTGAAGGTTTTGAGATTCAATTCGGCACAAACCACATGGGTCACTTCCTCCTCACAAAGTTGCTCCTCCCCACGCTTATCTCGACCGCAAAGGCCTGCGACCCCGGCACAGTGCGTATCGTCAATGTCTCCTCCCTCGCGCACAACCGAACTGAAACTATCACCTTTGATGACATGCACGACGAGAATGGGGTACCTGGCGCCACTACGCTGTTTAAGTCATATCTATCACACTCTATCACTCACGCAAAATTAACCCTACACTAGTCTAAACTTGCAAACATACTGCACGCTAAAGCACTCTCAAAGAGAGTAAAGGAGCATGGCATCATCACGATGTCACTCAATCCAGGGATCATCCACTCAGGACTGTGGGAGAATATGTCAGGGATCACATCACCAATGTGGGAGATTGCAAAGTACTGTTTCACAACGCCGGAGGTCGGAGCGTATACCAATATTTTCTGTTCAGCGTCGCCAAAGGTAACGATGGAGGATACTGGGGATTATTATGTCCCGGTGGGAGTCAAGGGTGCAGGAAAGATGCATAAACCGAGTGTGGCGGCGAGCGATGACGAGCTGGCGGAGAAGCTGTGGGAGTGGTCTGAGACGGAGGTGGCGAAGCATGGGTACTAGTACTTGAAGCGTGGTTTCTTTTAGGGCGTGGAGCTTTTCCTTTTGCGGTTCTGAGTGGTTTGGCTTCTTACTCAGGTTTGATATGTGATTATGATGTCCTTTTTTATATATCTTGGTAGATTATGGTTATTCCGTAAGGTTGAGGTATAGCTATCGATATCTTTGAGCCTTGTTGTGGTGAGTAGATTTAAGTATAACTGGTTTATTGTCATGCTTCTTTCCGGTAGGGTATGGTGTATCCAAGGCTGCAAATTATTATATATAGAAACATGTTGAATGAGAAATATGGCTCAGATTGATAGAAACAATTAACAGTTTCTGGGTTCCATGTCTGACTGAGCCCGTAGAGCCAGTGACTATAGACCTTGACAATCAGATGAAGGTGCCTGCAACTCAATTGATCAAGCCCGAATTGATACTTGTACATGTGCTGCCAGAAAGTGAGAGCTGAAGCTCATCAACACCATCTCACATACACCTACGAAGCTGTACTGTCCTGTGAGCCTAGCCACCGTAATGATGTCCTTAATACCGGAGCATCATGTGCTATCACTCGCATTGCGACCTGCTACGAGGCGGTTTCTGTAGATCTACAAGTCCCCCAACACGGGGAAAAGGTCAGTGCTAGAAGAATATAGGGATCTTTCTTTGGTCCGGGAGTTGGTGGTATTCTGGAATGTGGATGAGGGCAAGAATACTGGCCGTTCTCAATGCCTTCTTAGTTCGTTTCTCCGGTTGTGGGTAAGTACGTGGTACATTACCTTCTCTGCCACGCTTAAAAGGATTGTAGTCAACCAGGGTCTCACAACGGCTCAAAAGTAGAGAAGCATTTAAAGTTCTGCGGTCTTAGGCGATAGATGGTCCATACATACATGTAGTCACCAAGACTTCACAGATGGGCCGGCTACCTCGATGGGCCAAAGCATTTTCCTTTTCGGGGAGGTTTGGGAAACGAAAACCTCAAATATTCTACAAAGACAAGTAGATAACCGTACATATATTGGAAGGCCTAAGGCCGTGGTTATTTGTGTGAGACTAGGGTTTAAAGGTAAGATTGATGGTAATTAGCCCGTATATTTTAAGGTAATACTGTAATGTTGTATTCCTTAAGTATTCCCTCGTGCCCATCATTAAGAAATGTATTTGGATGAGTTGAGTGCTAGATTATAAACACATTCATGTACCTGCATTACGTCACAACTGGAAGGGTACGTACCAAGAGGACGCATAAAATGTGCATAAGAACACATGTGCTTAATTCGGTGGAGGAAAGTTTATCTTTACTGTGACGGCATTCTTGGCAGTCAATCTGAACACAGACTTACGCCCTCATACCTAGAGAACTTCTTATCAATAACCACTTTCTTCCCTTACCTTCATACCGTCCACATTTGTCTGAGTGTAGAACATAGCAAACTTCATGGGATATCACTCGCCACGCCATCTCCTCAACGCCCACACAAATACTGCCCAGAAATGAACGGGGTTCGAGTTGTAGAGGCTCCACAGCGAGTATTTATATATGCTACTGCTGTGATCAGTATACGGTGTGAGGAGTGAAGAAGGGTTGGTGTGTAAGTCTCAGCAAGTGGGTTTTGTACGGGAGTTGCATGTACCAATGCTACATGTACTACATGTATTTGTTGATATAGCGCTAGCGGTGTGAACTTAGGCGACAGATCCTCTTGTTTGGCTGGATTGAAAGGTTAGCCTAAACGATATAATGGTCGTAATCTTGACCTATAGCTACTATATTATACAGCGTGGGAATTTAACCACTTGGCACACGTACAGCATGTGTATTCGAGGGCGCTGAGGTGGGCGTGTACTCGAACTTTCGGCTAAAGAATAGGAAATTCGGGTATTTCAGGCAATTCGAAAACGTACTTACCTCTCTTTATTCTATTATCCTCATAGGATACAAATGGATCAGACAAGAGTGCCAGAACCCTATACTCGACCAATACAATCCATACACTGAATAGATTAGCTCCAAAAAATTCTGAAATAATGACAGCTATCGTCCCGCCAGCTCATAATTTGTTGGTTTGTTTTATAACACCAACTCAAGGCGTTGGGCTTCCGTGTTTTGTCAATCTGTGACAGAGGCGCGCGCCCTTCAAACCTCACGATGCAGCTATCCGTGTTATAGTACTGAGAGGGAAACAAAAGCTTCCATAGTTTCTGTCCTGCGTGTACGGCGTCAACCAAAAGTTTCTTTCTCGACCCACTTTGACACGTCAAGGCTTCTTGCTTTCGAGCCCCCTGGCGATGTTATGTATTTTGTGTCAGCCATTGAAACTGGATCAAAGGTCCGGCCATATTCATCAATTCTATATATCGTCTGACCGGAATTGACATTGAAAATAGTATGGAACCCTTTTAATAAACATGACCCCGAAATTTACACATTCAATGCTATTTTATCTTGCTACTTATGCCTAAAAATGGACTCTTGACTTGAACCCTTTCTTCACCGTTCAATACACTTACCTTGGCTATTCGGCTTGACACTCTCTTTGTTGTCTTTTTCCAATGAAGCTATCGAATCCTCTACTTATAATCAGCATTATAGCTTGCGTACTCGCAACTTACATCTCGGCATCTCCAACTGTATTATTCAAATGCGTTGCGCGCGGCCTATCAGAATGGGGCATTGGACACTACGGCGGCACCGTTAGTGAAATATCGAAACAGGAGGCATTGGAACTAGAAAAATCAATTGTACTTTTGCCAGCCGCGTCCAGAACAATCACTAATATTTCTTCCGCGTCTACAATTACAACTGAGATACCTGAATCATCTTCCAACGAAGGGTCTCCTACTACCTGGAGTAGTACGTACACTACGACTACTACTGTTACCGTTACTATAACCGTTATTCCTACCGCCACAAATTTTGCCAAGCGGGGGGAGATCCTGAGTTTGGATAGTGGAGTGTCTCTATTGGAGGGCGATGCTGTTGCAGAGCTAAATCGGTCCTTTAGGATGCATGCACTTGCCCTTGGAGACCCTTGCACTCTAGTTGCGGGGGAGGAGAGGATTGATTCTAAGATCTGTGTCGGGGGTGCGGTCGCTATCTGTGGGGAGAAAAGTTTGATTTGGGAAACTTATACGGATTGTAGAGGTTCTGGATTGGTCTGCGGCGCTATGGAGGCGCAGGGCGGTGTTAATGGTGATTCTAAGGCGGATATCCAGTGTTTTGAAGTGTAGGTTTTCCCCTTGATAGGTGATTTGCGTGCGCATGGAAACTAATAGGAGTCTCAATCTAGTGACAAAGTTTTCATTCGCTGATGATAATAATGAATATTATTGTTAACGCTAACGATTCTTCTGTCGCTACCTTGGACTCTAGAGCTGGGCTTTAGATTTGGTAGCAAGTGTTGTGGTGCTTGGCAGGCCTGCAGGGACTTTCTTTTCTTTTCTGTCCCTGAATCCTTTCCTATTCTGTCAGAAGTACCTCTGGAACAATTTTTTTCCGTAAAGTTCACTTTGCTGCAGCCTGAATTTGCCACTTTTCTGCGTCCGTTTGTAGGGCTTTTGGTGAGAGTGAAAAGAAAAGGGGAGTGCTACTACTACATGTAGTGGTGTTTGTGTTGACTCTTTAAATGGAATATCGGCTACATACATGTCGCTAAGATCTAAGCTGCATCATGCAGGAACCAAAGCGTGATCATTGGCCCCACCGCAATCAGGGTTATCTAGCTGCGTTTAAATTCGCATTCTGAACAATTTCCCATCTCTCCTCTGGCCATGGCTCCAGATTTACCAGTCCCTTGAGATGTTACTATTTGTGGACACACTTTAAGCTCGCGACGCCTGTGTTTCGCTATGCGCGGTGACGAATGAGGCTCCACGGTTCACCCCCTCCAGTCTCACTGTTTCAGACCCGATGTCTCTACAACCACCATGTGCCCTGATTCGACCACTCCAACGTCAATGACAGCCGTTTCCTAAGGGCCCGACTGATCTTTCGTCTTGGATCCCCTAAGCTATGTGTGTACAACGCGTAACATTTGCCGCCCACCCATCGTCCTCATCTCCACTCGCGTCCTAGGAGGATACTCACAGCTATCTGCTTCTAACCCAACATGATGTTTGTCACCCAGACCGCGCAGCTGAAGGTCGCTTCAGCTGTACCGATTGGGGAATGATGTTTCCTGCATGTTTCTAAATACACGTGGGGCCTAGCTTGTAGAATTGCACTCTCAACAGCCCGGATTAACTGTGCAGATCATAGAGTGCTTGCAGACGATCATGAGATGGATATATATTAGTTACTTTCCTCCCCCCAGATAAATTCAATTCTTTCTACATCTTCATTCTACATCCATTGCTAGTTCGCTGGGAATACTTTCCCTTTAGTATTTCTTTTTTTTCCTTTTTCCTTTCTTTCTTTCTTTTCTCTTTCCAGCTGTGCTGTGATAATTTCGATTCCTTCACGTCCTTTTTTTTTTATTTCTATTTTATTTTTTCCTTTCCCTTTTTTTTCCATTTCCTTTCTGTGATAATTCTTGGGTACCGGTTTACCTTCGGCTTCTTAATTCTTGCCATAATCAACAAAACCAAAGAAAAAAGAGAAAAACATCCAGCTTCCAATATGCGGTCCTTCATCTTCTTCATGCTCTTGCTCTCATCAACAGCCCTCGCCGGCCCCATCGGCAGATACCCCGTCCAGTAAGCTCCATCCTCCCCCAGTATAACCTCCCCACTCCAATCAAAACATCCACTAACACCCACCCCCCACAGCAAGCGTCACGAAGGCCACGACGACCCAGTCCCAAGCCCAACAGCTTCAACACCAACTCCAGTGTCCGTCACCGGGGCCTTCTTCATCCCACCGCCAACAAAAGCTTTCTCCACCGATGGCGCCAGGACAATCGCAACCGTCACAAAGCCTCGCACATTCGGATTCATCGAGGACGGTTTCCAGACCGCAGTACCCGCCGCAGCCTCCGTAGGGCCCAGGGACGTAGACACATCTGCCACCACCACCACCGCGCCCGCGAGGGAATATGCCCCGACTGCTGCGGCGGAGGAGGAAGGTGTTATTGAGGTGGTTGGCGCGCCTGCGTCTTCGACTGCTGCTGCTGATGCGGCAGAAGTGACAAGCTCGGCCACCGCTACTGCTGCTGCAGGATCATCAACCGCCGCAGCGTCAACAGACAACAAGGCCCTCGCTCTCGCGCAGAACAAGTTCTACGCCACGCTCACCGCCTCCTCCAGCTGCGACCCCAAGGACCCCAGCGTGCTCAACGCATGCATCAACGGTGCCTACGCGCAGTGCAACGCCGCCGGGAGCTACGTGATGTACACGCAGTGCGGCAAGCCCCTTGGGTGCTTTGCGCTCCCACTCGAGAACGGGCCTGGCATCAGTGTTGCTTGTACCAGCGCTGATGACGCCGCCTTTAGGATGGGATTGAAGAGCGGGAGTGAGCTTGAGGAGATGCTCGGCGGTGGTGGGAGTGCGAGTAGCTCGGTGGCACCGAGTACGGTCAGGAGCACGGTGACGGTGACGTCCACGTCGATGAGGACAGCGACTAGTACGGCTGCGGCGGTGACTTCGTCGGCGTCGGCGCCGGCTACTAGTAGTGCTGTTGTGGCGCCGACGTCGAGTGCTAGTGCTGCGGTGCCGACGACGGCGAGCTCGAGCGCTGCGGTGCCGACTACTACGGCTGCTGCCTCTTCTTCATCTTCGAGCAGTACGAGCTCGACTCCCACTACTACGCAGGCGCCGGTGACTACTTCGTCTCCTGCGCCTGCGCCGACACCGACTTCGACGACTGCTCCGCCGAACAACCAGGCGCCGGTCGTGACGGCGATTCCGATTGGGGAGAGATATGTCACCAGTGCGGGTGTGGTGATCACTACTACTATCTATCAATAAGTAGATAGATGCTATATTGTTTATTTCCTTTGTCTGTTTGTATTATTTTGATTTTGGGGGGGGTTATTGGCGGGAAAAAGGTGTTGTCTGTATGCTAGTGTTTTGAGTGTTTCGAGTCGAATCTACTCGTGATCAGTAGATCAGTAGAGGAATGGAATGTGGACTCGGCCAATATTTTGTCTGTTAATGTAAATACCTGTATTTCTAAAAAAAGTCAGTCTATTAAAATATCGATATCCTTTTTTTCAAGTTATCTGTAGCTGGTATTCAGCAGAGTCAAGCCCAGTGACCTCTATCAGTATCATGTAGTGTTACGCTGCATTATCTTTCTGTCTGCTGCGCCCACATACCGATCAAGCGGGCATATTAAATTCCAGCGGTTTCCGAGATTTGGCTTTCTCGGCCGATACCCTCTAGAAAGGCGCTGAATTCGCTCCCATTGGTCTCATTGGCCCGCGCACGCTCTGTAGCCGGTGCTGGGGTTGACTTTGAGGTTTGCAATTGAATTAGTAACCTCCGGCAGCTGCTTCATAAGCTTTCGTAACCGCCCCCCGCCGCACGTGACCCGCGCACCACGAGAACTGCGAATCGCGTGTCCCTCAGAACTTCAATTGCAACTGGCGTAAAGTAAGTATATAAGTATATATTCCCGTCGAATGTAGACCTTCTCCCAGCCAGATATCTCTTCAAAGCCAAGAGATCCAGTCCCTCAAGATTCCACGACTCGCCCCCGCACCGCCGCAACACCGCCCGCAGAAGGGTTCCTATTCTGTCCGCACCGTAGCTGTCATACTACTGCTCCTGATCGTGCCTGTGTATCTCGGCGTGACTCTCTCTGCAGATAACAATTTGACGACGGCAGAAGTGGCTTCGCAGCTGTTTAGGAGGATTGGTGGACTTGTTGGAGGACTAGCGGGATTCGCAGGTGCTACTAAGGGTGCTGATTCGCTTTTGCCAGCGGTTTCTGTGTCTACGACGGGTACGATGAGTGCTGAGGCTTCAACGGCGGCGGATGCGTCGGCGAAGAAGTTGACGCCGGTGTATTTTGTGTCGCATGGTGGGGTGAGTAGTTGTGATAACTGGAATGATATGAGTGAATGAGTGAATGAGGGCTGATTGTGGAAAACGACAACAGCCAAATGTAATGTTCGAGACCGAACACCCCGCGTTTGGGAAGCTCCAGGCAATTGGAAGGGAGATCACGCAGAAGGTGAAGCCAAAGGCCGTCGTTGTGTTTTCGGCGCATTGGCAGGCGGGACGCAGCTCGGTCGAGGTGAATACTGCGGAGTTTACAGAGCTGATCTATGAGTTCGTACAACCTAGATACCAAGATACCTATATGAGTATTTACTAATATAATGGTTCTGCACATATAGCTACTACGGCTTCCCAAGCCACTACTACAAAGTAAAGTACCCCAATGTCGGGTCCAAGGAGCTCGGGGAGAAGATTATCGGCCTGCTGAAGGACGCTGGAATCTCTGCGGAGCCCACAAAGCGTGGCCTTGATCATGGTGTTTTCGCACCTTTCACTTGCAGTGAGTACCACTAACCCTACCATCTACAAATTCGACAATACTAATACAACTGCCAGTGTTCCACCCCGAAGACAACCCACTGGGCGTCCCCCTAGTCCAAGTCTCCCTCTTCGGGAACGAAGACCCCAACAAGCACTACGAGCTCGGCAAAGCCGTGTCCAAACTGCGCTCCGAGGGCGTCGTTGTCATCGGCTCCGGCATGGCCGTCCACAACCTCCGCGACTTCAGACTCGCAATGATGTCCCCGGGCCCGCTCGAGTACTCCAAGACATTCGATGCGGCGCTCAAGGACACTGTGGTGAATGTGGGCTCGGGCGAGGAGCGCAAGACGAAGCTGGCGGAGGTGATGAAGAGGAGTGATGCGAGGAAGGCGCATCCGACTTTTGAGCATCTGCTGCCGATACATATTGCCTCGGGCGCGGCCGGCGATGATAAGGCGACGCAGCTGTGGACCATGCCCGAGGGGAGTATGAGTTGGGCGCAGTATCGCTTTGGGGAGGTGTCGTTGGTGGCTTAGGTTTAGAGTTGGGGGAGTTGGGGTTTGTAGTTATTAGCAATTGCTTTCTTTGTGTGCTGGACTGTAAGCAGGCAGTATTCAGTAAATTCCAAGTTTTACATAGTCCACATCCTTGACTTCTTGCATTTTGGTGTTTTCGTGCATATTGGCTCTGTTGTTCTAGATATCTCGAATCGAGATGTGATTATTCCGCTCTGTAAAATATGTACTTTGATATCCTTATTTCTCATACAGAATACCCTCCACAAAACCACACACAAAAGAGCAACCAATTTTGCCGAAGTCCGTGTTGAATGTTCTATGATGACTTGGCCAAGTTTGTGACCTTCTCCTCGATTTGCTTATCGGTCAATCCTAAACCCCCGCCATAACATCAGCATATGCCCAATTGCAAACACTTGAAACTTAAAATAGGTAATTGCGAAAGGGAGTAACAAACCAGTGAGCGATTCCTGCTTCTCAACACCAAACTCTACAAAACTCCCCACATATATTAGCAATCCACCCACTCACCCCACAGGATAAATGATCTAACACACCATATCTCGCAAACACTTTCGGCTCAATACCCATAGCTTCCCTGATTAGGATGGGCGTGTTTGGATTGTGCTTCTTCATGACCGGGTACGACCTCTGGAGGAAAGTCCTGTCATACAGCAATTCCAGTCAGCATCACCAATTCATGGTTGAGGAGGATGAGGAGGGGAAGCGTAGGGGAGAAAAGACGAACCGGACAGCGGCACTGTGCTCGCCAGTCTGGCAGAACAGAAACCGGAGCTCCTTGAGCTGATTTGTGAAAGCGTAGCGGGCGGCCATTTGAGATGTGCTGTGCGGCGGGAGATTAGATATGGTGCTGAGGAGAGTGGTTCCGCGCCCGGATGCCCGAGTTACTACTGCTGTGGCTGGTGTGGTGTTTGGTGGGGGTGTTTGGGGACGTTTGTCAGCCAGCGCCGATACTGAGTAAAAACCTTAGCCCGTGGCGTTTTTTCTCATCAGCCACCCCGCGATTCGACATTGAGTTGGGTCGTGTGTGTGGTTAGCCCGAATTCCGAAAGCCCCCAGGATACGACAACTGAGTAGCTGCTTTGCTTTCTTTCCATCTCCACTCTTGAATTTTTCTCTACCTTCTCTGAACAAACCACATCCCCGGAGCTTCGTGAAGAAATCAACACAATATGTCGCAAGCAGCTGCTCAGACGGCTACAAAGGCCATGAATCCTGCGTTCAACCCCAGGACTGTTCACTTCTGGGTATGTATTCACTAACTCACTCACTCACTACTACATACCCTTTGGCTATCAATTATCTCGCAACAGAGCGACTAACCTTGCGTGCGTTTTTCTACAGGCTCCCATCCTCAAGGTATAAAAAAACCACATCTCTCCCCCGCCGCCAAGCTTCACAATACTAACCAGCGTAAAAAAAAACGCAGTGGGGGCTCGTTATCGCTGGAATTGGTGACTTCTACAGACCCGTTGAGACTCTGTCTGTCACGCAGAACGCGGCCCTCTTTGCGACCGGCACTATCTGGACTAGGTGGTGCTTGATCATTTCCCCCAGGAACATCCCGTATGTGTCATCCATCCTCTGGTCACGTGGGGCTGCTGCGACGGCGGTAGTGAGATAGAATGCTGATCTTAGGTGGGTGGTTGTAGGTTGGCGGCGGTGAACTTCTTTTTGGCGGGTGTGGGGTCGGTTCAGTTGGGGAGGATCTTTGTGTAAGTTTTCGTCTTTTCTTTTTCTTTGCCTTGTTTTGTGTTTGGATGGATGCTGATTGATTATGGGGTATATAGGCACAACCAGAGATTGAAGAAGAACAGCCCGATCCTGAGCAAGCTTGAGGAGGCTAAGAAATGATCCCCACATACGCTGAGTTGTGTGGAGTTGTATGTATAGCTTTTTTTCGAGGTTGTGCTCTCCTGCGGTAAATGGCGATATATGTAGTCAGATCTTTGCATGAAATTGTCGATACCGGGAATTGATTTGGTTTGCTCTTTTTTAGATGTCTAGGTTGGGATTTTAGAGTGCGTATTGTGACTGGGAACAACTTGATTGGTTGTATTTATTTTGGGGATTGAGCTTATTAACAGTTTGGAATTATCGTGAAAGTACTCTTCCTATAATCTGGAGTCTTATTAGAGTGGGATATTTAATATGATGGGCCAGTTGGGCTTTTATGATATCAAAGGCCGCATGAGTGCATCCTAGCATCTGAAATCGACAAAACCGGGAACAATTCTAGTATTCTATTCTATGATAGTAGAAGCGCCCAATCGACATAAACGAACAGACTCAAAGAGACCCAAGCGTCTAAATGAAACAGACATTACAAGAGCAGGGAAATTTCATAAATCATGGCACCAAAAAAAACAATGTCTAGATCGTCTCCTCAGAAGAGCCATCCACATACTCGCGATGCTCTGCCTTTGACTCGGTCTTGGTCAAATCGCTCGCTCTCCTCTCAGCATCAGGAACGACCAATAGTTCACCATGCTTTCCGTGGCGTAGTGGCTCTTGCGCTGCAATGCGGACGGTGTCCCAGATGCTCTTGCTCTTCTTGAAGATGTTGTCCATCTCTTCGAGGGAGCGGTATGCGGTCTCGGGGTAGAACCAGTAGATACAGGGGATAATAGCGGCGTTGATCACAGCGAAGATTATATAGGTGCGGTACTGGATGTTTGCGAAGGCAACAGGAGTAATCATTACCACTTGAGTGAATGTTAGGTCATATCTATATGCGCATTTAGTGGGGAGGCAGGAACATACCCATGAAATTGAAGATCCAGTTGGCGCTAGTGGAGAGTGAATTGGCCCTGGCACGGATACGTAGAGGCGTGATCTCAGCTGGATATAGCCATGCCATTCCAAGCCAGCCAACGGCAAAAAAGGTATTGAAGACGAACTATGCAATATACGTCAGCACTCATTTCTAGGTACCCGACGAGGGGAAGGAACCAACGCACCAAGAAGATCGCAGCAACAATTCCATTGGCGCCTCCTCCGATACTGGTCATGATGGCAAGAATTGCCATGGAGGCGCTCATACCCGCTGTACTCCATAGTAATAGCTTTCTTCGCCCAACTTTCTCAATGATAAAGACAGAAATCCATGATGCCAAGAAGTATTCAGTCCCATTGCAGGCCGCTAGGATTCTTGCGAGTAGTGGGTCAAGATGGATGTATTGTTCGTATATACTTAAGATTGCTTTTGTCAGTAATACGATTCATTTATGAGTTTCAGGAGTTGGGTGCTTACGTTGCTGCATAGTATGTGATCAAATTGATACCTGAGATCTGCTGGAACACCTGGATCATATATCCTAGAATCGTGCGGTGGAAATTACGGTTCTCGTCCATGGTGAATAGATCCTTAAACGTAGCGGCAGCAGTTTCTTCAAGAGATGTTTTGATCTCTGCCATCTCGCCCATGACTTGGGGGTCATCGGCCGGGACGTCGTCAAGGGCTGTCAAGACCTCTAAAGCTTCGGTCTCACGTCCTTTCAACAATAGCCAACGCGGTGACTCGGGGAGAGGTAGGATGAATATGACGATAACCAATGCAAAAACAATTTGGAACGCGATTGGAAATCGCCAGGAGATCTCCGAGGGCTCTAAAAACGAGAAACCAAAGTCGATCCAATACGATATCATGATTCCACCAGTTACCAGAGCACCTATTCTCACGCATGTTACTACAATAATCTGAAGAAACACTCAGATTCTCAGCATACCTTCAATCATAAGAAGCCTTCCACGGTCGTGAGATTTCGAGCATTCTGATTGCCATACAGGGACGGTAGCAGTGTTGAGGCCATTTCCAAATCCTGTCACAAGTCGTCCAGCAATAAAGTGGCCCAAAGAATACGCGGTAGTTTGAAGGATAGCTCCAATGACCATGATCATCGCCCCAGTGAAAAGCGTCTTCCTTCGACCAAGTTTGTCTCCAAGATAGAGACAAGCCAATGCGCCGCAGAAACACCCGATGTTGTACATGGAGATCGCAACACCTAGAGTATACGCCCAAGCCATTAGTGCTATCCAGTTTATGAACTCAGGTTATGGATAGAGTACCTTGAATCTCTGCATTTCGCGATCTTACGTGTGCAGGAAGACTGTCAGAGGTGTCCATCTCGGGGAATACTTTGGTAAAGCTCTTGAGGGTCAAGAGTCCACCCATGACTCCTTGATCATATCCAAACAAGAGGAAATCTTTGGGGTAATTAGTATCAATACTGTGTTCGGGAAAATTTCATGCAATATACGGACCTATTCCAGCGATAATACTAATTGCATAGCTGAGTTTAGGCCCTCTTAGGCCAAGAAACCTCTTTCCAAACATCTTAAGATCTAGATAGAGCTACCTTTCTCGAAGACAAGGTTTTAGTGTTCCTCGGCCGATGAGGATTTGTTTAAATAGGACTCCCTTCCAGTCCCACCTATTTATATAAGCTATCATGTGCTTTAGGTGGCCATGAATTCTGCGGCCTTATGGAAGACTAAATGCCAAACCATGCTTAGCCCGAGATTCCCCCGCAATCCTGACCTGGGAGAGGCGTCATAAAACAGCGAAATCTTATAGAAACGCACATAAGATACGCTTTTGTGGAGAAGTGATTACTTTGAATGTTTTATCCACGGAGGCGCATACAAGAGACTCCATGGCGGCCCGTTGTTGCAGGGTATGTACCTGCATAAGGTTTGCGGGGAAAAGCTTCAAAATAAGGAATAGCTTTGCCGGCGGAGAGCCTGATCAGGTAAACCGGATTCACCAAGTTTTTTCGGCTGCCTCCGAATTCCACATTTGTCATTGGATGTTCGCCACTCGGGGATCTGCAGCCTTATGACGAAATAAACTGCGTCCCCATCCGCGGTTGCTGGATAAATGGCTAAATGGAATAGACGCTTACTTCAGTGCTACGCGCTTATTTCAAGATTGCAAGGAACGGTGACTTCTGTTGTTGGAGGGTTTGTGAAGGAGGGAAGGCAAAGGCAGCTTGTCA